TTTAAAAACTATTATAGCCTCGACACTTTTGTATTAGGATTTTCGTCTGGAAATGTTCTAAGGAATCTGTCAATAAGAGGACCTCCGGTGGTTTTAGGACACCCTGTATATAGAAACGTAATCCATTTTGCATATTAACAGGTTTGGTTTAACGAGTTTAACTGTAAACTGAATGCTACATGAACTAAATTGAGATAAACTAAAATATTACTTTAAATAATATTTTTCCGTGTTACAGCATATACAGGGTGGGGCGTTTATCTTGAGAGAATAATATATCTCGGTTGGAATGGATTATTTCGAAAAATGTTTCAGACAAAAGTTGTGCGGTTTTGAAAGGGCTATATAATGGTGAAATTAATTTTCGAAAAAGTTACTTTTTTATGATTATATGGAGGTCGACGCCATTTTTTTAATGGAACCCCCTATTGTTTATTACACTATCATGTTCTACTAATTAATATGAACAACTTTTGTCTGAAACAGTTTTCGAAATAATCCATTCCAACCGAGATATATTATTGTCTCAAGATAAACGCCCCACCCTGTATATAACTTCGATTACACTCACATTTATGCACAACATTCATAAAGAATCGTCTAATGTGAATCATTAATCGAATGTACTTGTGTATGATTGCTTCAGGTACATCTGCCAAACTTTGAAGGTTGGGAAATCTTTATGAAGAAGGAAAATAACCAGATTCCTAATGGTATCCAAGCACGCGGTGTGGTTCTTTCGCTCCTAAATTTAGGGTTCGAGCAGAAATACAAGGGCGTTATAGCAATCTCAAGAGGCTATTTCGCTCGTACTCTATGCTATTATGGACACAAGTTACAAGTACCAATAACTATCGTACTAGTAAATTCATCAAGATTATCTCCAGTTAAATATTGCGAAAGACTTGGAGGAACAATATTGGTTGCCAAAAACATATTCGAAGCACACAAGACTGCTATGAAGATTGCTCAGCAGAAAGGATTAGTTTTCCTTGACGGGTACTTTTTTACACATAATTTTAATTAAGTTTGGAAAAAGAATTTTCTACAAGTAATACGTTACCGTTGTTTCTCATGAAAAGTATCGCTACGTACAATCACTAACCAAACCGGTGTTACTGTTTGACCTACTTTTGCCTGACATGAATATAAAATATTAAAATTGTATGTGAATTTCTGCGATAAACGCAACTGCGGTATGCACCAGGTGGTATCCCAGAATTCAGTTCGAGTGTAAACTCTGAAATTTGTTAGTACATTCAATTGTTGGACATTTAATTTTCATCAGTACATGTGTGTATAGTGTGGTAAATGGTGAGAGGATTAATAACTTTTCATAATATAATATATTATTTAGATATCAGCATCAGTGATTTTTATTGACCGTATCCGGCAATTTTAATAATACAAAAAATTTATTGCGAAAAATATTACCTCAGCTAGGGTTTGAACCTGGACTTCACTACAATTTATTGTGATAAATTTTCTATATTATTAAAATTGCCAGATACGGACAATAAAAATCACTGAGGTTGTTAATTACTGCTGGCGACTTTTACGAATATTCTCATTAGGTGATTATTTAAATATATTATTTTCTTTGGAGATGCACAATATTTTGTGGTAATTTTATATATTTAATTTCTTTACTGAATTATTCAACGAATAAATTATTTTTCGATTAGTATCGATCATCCAGACATGATTATTGGCCAATCCACCATGGCCGTAGATATGTTGCCTGAACTAAAAACCATTGATGCAGTGATATTACCGACGCAGTTCGATGGTTGTGCACTTACCATGGGTATTGCAATGGTTATCAAAAACCGCTATCCGAATATGCACATTATTGTAAGGGAATAAGTGAATCTGTGTATCACAGTAAATTTTAAAATATTTCTCACGTAAAAATATGTATAACTTCTAGATGTAACAATTCAATTTAAGAAAAAGATTACATTTACAGAATGAAAATAGAAATTTGTGGAATGTATGTAATCTTCATTTTTAGGAGGCCCGAATTAGAAATTCTGATCTTTTTATCGAAGCTATAAGATCAATGAATCTAAACCGTACTGTATTGAGGAATGAAGAGGCGAAAGCATATACATGGCATTTTGATAATGAAGGCGTTCTGGAATCTTTATTCGACAATTGTGTTATTGTAGATGATCACTCTGCTGCGCAGACGTTCAAGCGTCTAACAGAAGACAGAGGTATCGACTTTACGACAACCATTGGTTTCGCTGCGATTTTATCTGGTCAATTGGATTATCTGAAAGGAAGAAAGTAATTTCTTTTATAAGACTTACAAGGTTTTGTTTAAAAGTTATTAATTCAATAACGGTTTGTGTGAAGAATTTCGTAACCACAAAATACGCCCCGTTCATATTTTATTCAATAACGTAATAATTTAGCATTATTGGATTATTTAATAATATTACCATTCTCTTTACGTACCAGAGTGGCAATACCTCAGGTTGGTCCGATGGACTTGTCTACTGATTTCGTGAGGAACACCGATCCAATTATGGGAACAGCTAGAATTCGACTTTTGAATGATTAAACGCTTAAATAAATATGAATACAGACCTAGAAATATCATTGACGTAAAAGAAATTTTCTAAAACTTTTAAGCATTCGATTAAAGCACAAAATCTAGAAGAATACGACAGACAAATTGCATAACTCCAGAGTCAAACAATGCTTGTAGCTAAAATTATGTAGGTAGATTAAATGACAATGTTTCTTACAGTCACGTTCAATAGTAATAATAATAATATTAATTTAAAAAACAAATTTTTTAAGTAGTAGAAAATCACGTCGTTTATCCAGTTTTCTGACGCTGAGAATAACCTAAATAAGACTGACAGTAGTACCTGTTACCTTTTATATCGTCGCCTGAGTCACTTTTACAATTTCATCAAACATTCAAAATAAATCGTATTTGAATTTAAATGTTTTTATTTTATATCTATATTGATGTTACTAAATGATTCAAACGTGAATACATTTGCTTGCAAATTTGATTTATGTTGCTATAAAGTATTAAAAATTGCATTCACATGTTTCGTATTCTTTCAATGTCGATTACTATGTCGACAAGCAGAAACGAAATATTGAATCAATTTCTACATATTAGAAATATCAAAGAAGACGCCAATGATTCCTGTCATGCGCTTTCTTGATAGTACTGTTATTTTTATTTTTATTATGAGGTTATTATGAGAATCTGAAAACTGTACAACCGATATGTATTTAAACTACCTAGAAATTTTGTTTTACAATTTTTCTGTCTTCCAGCTCTAAGGGTGACATGTAAGAAACCTGTTTCAATTTTGCCCATTCGTGTCATTCGAATTTAAAGTATTGAAAATCGCGTCCGAATATTTCGTTTCCTTTGAATGTCGAGTGACTATATCGATAATTAGATACGAGATATTGAGTAAACTTCTACCTATTAGATAGGAGAGGAGTCGCCTATGGTTCTAGTCATACGCTTTCTTATCGAGAATGGCTTCCATACATAATGTTTCACTCAAGTTGACTATCGATCGGCTTTCAGATATTAATTTTATCATTTAACATTATAAACATGACTTTCGATGTCACTCATCGTTTTAAAATTGATTAGGGTTGTTTATGATCTTTTTAATAAACGTTACTCAAATGAAAGCGCATGTACAATTGATAGGCGAATGCGTATGTACTTTTCTAACATGGTGTAACAATTAAAGGATTTAAAGGAAAAACACTTTTTAATACAATTTTTCCTTCTCATCTCCTTACAAAAATAAAAATATTGCGTTATCACTTTTAACCGAAAGAACAAGCGATTAGTCGATGTATTTTAATTCCCATTGAAGGATAATGCATGCAAGTGAAATTACGTTTGACACGTGACAATAAAAGCTAGCGTTCAACTTAATCTTTGATCGATTAAACGAAACTGCGCTATCGTTAACGCAATGTGACAAAAACGATCGTCGTTATCAAGTAGCAGTGCGTTTCTGAAAAAGAGAAACCGTAATACATATAGAAATTATTGTGAGTGAAAAAGTAAATTTGTTTGTTACACAACATTTTCTAATATCACGAATATGAAGCAATAAAGAATACACGATACCAAGACAATATGTTAGTGCCTATATGATTTTACTTTGCAAAATTGCGAAAAATGAAAATCATTTGGACACTAACGTACTGTCTCGGCGCTTGTATCCTTTGTTACTTCGTATTCGTGATTTTTACAAATTTTTGATAAAGAATGTTGAAACAAATATTCAACAAAATTAGAGATAAATTTGCCTAGTTGCTGACTTTGAATAAGTCGTAGCCATCTTTGTTTATCGGAATTTATCGTCAAGAAAAGTGGTATTTTAATAAACGTAAATACTGCAATGTCGATGTACGAGATAGAATTTCTGCCTTCGATCTCATTCATTCTCTTCGATTTTCCTCCACGTGTAAGTCTCTAAATCAAAAATGTGTACGTCGTTGAAATATTTATAATCATGTCGCAGATTGTCATGGAATCCGCCAAACACTATCAGCTGTTTCTTCATGTGCACCATTCTGTGCCCGCTTCTGGCTGATGGGTCGTTTAGAGCTCTAGAACCATACGTAACAAGCATACACATAAAACATGTAATGTATAAATGTATTTTATAGGCACGCGCGTGTACAAACACACATGTGTGTATAAATGCACACGTTATATAAATATTACATGTTAGTACTTACGTGATCTTTTCCTACTTCTTGTCAGCAAATCGAAACACCCACAAGTCTCGATAGTGATAGAACTGCGACTCGCTTGGGCTGGTGAATTCACCACCAAACACCCACAATTCACCATGATTTGACCTTGATGTGGCTACTGCCTGATGGCCGCATCGCGGTGGCGGTGCCCCAGGTGCCTTCACCAATGTCCATTCTCCCTTATTTATGTTGTAAACGAACATGTCGCCGTATACAATTGTCTACAGAAAGTTAAGTGAACGCGATTAGAATTAAATGAATCATTTCTAGATTTCTTACGTCATATTTAAAAAATGATCAATTTCTCCTTATATGGATAGATCATGTATCCTTCTGCATTTATTGCATTTGTTCATATGGCGAGTTCTCACATCTTGTTGGTTAATCAGAAAACTGAAAGAGAGTACGTTCGGTGAATTTATTATGGTGTAATATTTACTTGTCGACCGTCATGAAACTCGCCGCCAAGCATGACAAGCTCATCCTTAAGAGGATGTGCCGTCAGGGTGAAGTTTACTCGTCTAAGCGGCGCATCCACCGCTACCTCCTTGACGCATTGCCTGCGAGCCTCCTCTTCTTCAATTTCAGCAACGATCTTTTCTATGTCATCCTGTACAAGCAAGTCATGAAGTGACTTTTAAAACCGGCCTCAAAAACACTTGCTAACGTTCCCTTTCCGTACGGAACGAAACGGCAAAGGGAACAAGACTAACCTCACCAAGTGCCGCTAATTCCTTCTTCTGCTTTGCATTAAAGCTTTTTCTCGGTTTTTAATGCAGTCTTCACTTGACCGCTTACCTTGTGCTTATTTTTCTTTTTATCTTTTTTCCCCATCGCCTTTTGTACCGCAAAATCAAATCACTCTAAAAAGCGACCGGTTTATAACCAAGCCTATAGAGTATAGATGGAAATCTGTCGCGTGCCCCACACTGTGCTGTGGGTGCCTTCCGTTTCACGCATTGAATTACGAGACATGGTTCGTGATATAGGCCGCGTTCAGCAGGCACAACTGTTGAGTGAGCGCTCAATGATTTCTTAACATGATTGGCTGGATCTGAAAGTATTAACCAATCATACTGAGCGCTCACTCAACAGTTGTGTCTGCTGAACGCGGCCATTGTTCACACGTCTTCCGACGCAAGATAAAGTTTTGATCCTGCGGGATTGCATCATCCCGCGTGTGGCCTGGTTACCGGGCCATTGCATCGTTCAATTCACTACATTCCAAGCAATACCATTAAGTCTATTGGTTCGACGTGGCCGTGTCGGCTAAGTGTCTGTGTGCCGGGAGCCAATAACCAGAGAAGAAGAAGACATGGTTCGTGTCCGTACTATGGTTCATGTCCGAACTATTCAGATCAGTGATGCTAGCCGAGAACGTTAGCACGGACGATGCCGCGGCGGTGGGGATGGAGTGGGGATAGTCGGTCTGACCACGCCTGCGCGCGCACGCTCGCACACAAGCAACACGTCGTAGCCAAGCGTCGAGCGCACACGTTTTTACGACGTGTTGCTTGTGTGCGAGCGTGCGCGCGCAGGCGTGGCCGGACCGACTATCCCCACTCCATCCCCACC